GAAAGAGACCATCTCTGCTTTAAGCGCCAGCAACCAAGCGCACTGGAAGGCACCGACACACATAGACCGCCCCCCGGATAAACAGACATCAGCATCAGGTGGGAAGTGGCAGGAATCAAACCCAGTACCTTTGGCACTGGTGACAAGCCCCTCCTATTCAGCTCAAAAAGCCTCCCCTCCAGCTGAGACCAGGGGAGTCACTCACAGGGCTGCTCCTAGGGGGAGCTACACACACAACATGGGGGACATCAGTGCTGATGTGTCTGGTCCTTTAGAGATCCATAAGGCACCTCAGTGCTTATGGATTTTAAAGCACTGAGGTGCTTTAAACTCCCGGGACTGGTCCCGGTGAGCCTCTGTACTGGTGTTGCCTGTGTAGCAGGCATTGGCCTTCCAGGGGGTGCACTACAACCAAGCCAAGGATGGGTGACCTCAAGCAGCTGCAAGTTCACCAGTGACACCACCACCTACTATTGCTGGGGGCTGTGGCAGTCTCCCACACAGCAGTGGTGGGACTCCATAGCAGTGGTGGTTTCAGGATCTCCAGGAGCTGGGCTCATGCGCCAGAGGCTCCATGGATTGGGGGTAAGGCAAGCTGCCCAGGGAACAGGGGTGCAATAAAAAGTTACTTGTGTTTGCTTTTATCTTGAACTGAAAGATATGGTCTGGGGCCCCTGGAATATTAGTAAAGCTTCTAGATTCTCTTTAACCAGAGAAAAATATTGCGGTGCATTGCATCAGCACATACAAGATCTGCACCCCCTTTTCAAAATGCTAAGTCTGTCCACGTTCACGTCCATGCAAAGCACCAGACTCCAGCATTAGGGCCAAGCCCATTCAAGTCTGGGTGATTTTGTGGTTCTTCCCCTGCTGCTGCCATGGGAGAGTCAGGCTAATGGGTCAGGGTCAAGGTCACGGTCACTCCCTCACCTGACCATGCAGCTCCCCTTCCGGGCCCGGCTTGGCCTTGTGGTGCTTGGCATCCATGCAGATGTTCAGCAATGATGCCCCACCAGGGCTGGTGATGCAGGCTGCCCAGAGCCCCAGCAGGACCCACCGCGCTGCCATCTCTCTGCAAACAGGACAAGGTGGGGTTGGGAGAGAGGACAGGAGAGCAGCTGCAGAGAAGGGGCTGGTCTGCCTGCATTTGAATGGGTGCAGTCGTGCCAAGGGCTCCCAGCACATGGGGGACATCAGTGCTGATGTGTCTGGTCCTTTAGAGATCCATAAGGCACCTCAGTGCTTATGGATTTTAAAGCACTGAGGTGCTTTAAACTCCCGGGACTGGTCCCGGTGAGCCTCTGTACTGGTGTTGCCTGTGTAGCAGGCATTGGCCTTCCAGGGGGTGCACTACAACCAAGCCAAGGACAGGAGATTATCACAGTGACAACACCAGCTATTGCTGGGGGCTGTGGCAGTCTCCCACACAGCCCCCAACTCTGCAGCAGGGGTGGTTTCAGGATCTCCGGGAGCTGGACACGGGGACTGGAGGATCCATGGATGGGTGAGGGAGGGGTGCACTGGCAGGAATCTTTCCAGGGCTAAAGGGGCACTGGGGTAAGATCGAGTCACAGAGCCATCTTGCCCCGAGCCCAAGGCAGCCAGGGTCTGGGAAGGAAGATGCCCACCCACCCACCCTTGGAAGAAGGGGATGTGGTGGCAGCTGCAGTCCTTGGACTTTGCTCTGCTAGGACTGCTTGAATGCAGACCTGGGTCACTAGTGCTGTCAGCCCCTTCCTGCTCATGCATCTGCAGGCAGGGGTGGATCCGGGGAGGGCAGGGTGTGGTGCCATCACCCCCCACACCTCCCCCATGTCCCCGAGCTACCCAGACCTTAAAACCAGGTGCCTAGGAAAGCCCACAGCCCTTCTATCGAGACAGTACTAAGAGTCACTTGACTTCATGGCTCATTTTCATGTCCTCGGCTACTGCTAATCTCTTCACTCCACAGGTTTGATTCCCCTTTTTAAGGGTCTTGCAGTTCCATTAATCTAGTTACCCTTTCTTCTCCACTTTGAATGGCGAATAGGCAGCCCTGGTCATCTTTTTTTTGAAGATGGTTTTTGCTTTAACTACAAGCCTCAACTCAAGTAAACAGCAAATCCAGTGAGGCCATAGCTGACAGCAAAAGGCTGCATGCACTATCAACATGCTCAAGGCGGCCAAGGTTTGTGTCACCAATCTGAATTAAGTACAACTATAGGACTCATAAAAACAAATCTTTTTACTACATTGCCTAATTTGTTATGCATCTCTGTCTACTAGAATGTGGACTGATTTGGTAGGTGACAAAGTTACTTGTTTTTACTTTGATCTTAAACTGAATAATATAGCCCTGGGCCCCTGGCATATTGGTAAGTCATCTAAATGCTCTTTAACTGGAGGAAAGTGTTGGGGTGCAGTGCATCACCACATATATCTGCACCCCCTTTTCAAAAAGCTAAATTTTGTCATGACCACATCCCTGCCAAGCACCAGGCTCTAGCATCAGGGCCATGCCTTGCAGGTCTGGGCGACTTTGTGGTTCCTCCCCTGCCGATACCAGGGGAGAGCTGGGTTAACGAGCATCAGAGCCCACAGCCACCTCACCTGGCCATGAAGCTCCCCCTCTGGGCCCGGCTTGGCTTTGTGGTGCTTGGCATCCACGCAGACATTCAGCAATGACGCCCCAGCAGGGCTGGCAATGCAGGCAATCCACAGGCCTAGCAGGACCCACTGTGCTGCCATCTCTCTGCAAGAACAGGACAAAGGTAGAAATAGGAGCGAGAAGAGCAACTTCAGAGAAGGGGCCGGTCCACCTGCATTCAGATGGGTGCAGTTATGCCAGGGGCTCTCAGCAGGCGAGGGGACCCCACAGGGGATGTCAGCACTGTAAAGTACCCTCAGTGCTTTACACCCCCCATGAGCTTCCTGCTCTCTTCAGGGGCATTGCACATAGGCTGGGGATAGGGACTGAGCTGTGCCAATGCTGTTGCTGGGACTTAAACCCAGAGGGTCCTGCCCCTCTTCTCAGGCTCAGATTGACACTGCATTGGGGTTAGGAAGTGAGTCCACCCCAGTCAAACTGGTATGGACTGGGCAGGTTGCCTTCTTCAGCAGGGGCATGGCCTCTGCCTGGGATCTCTTGAGCATTTATTAACAACCTTGTACAGCAGGAGGGCATGGGCTGTGGTAGTCCCCCTACTTCACCTAAGACAGATTCAGGTGCTATGTCTGGAGCTTGATTGTATAGTTTTGCTAAAAGGTCAGACAATTAATTTGTCTGGGATGGTTTGGACAGGGCTGATCTTGTCTCAGGAGTTGGACTAGATGCCACCTCCTGAGGTCCCTTGCAGCCCTGCTTCTCTAGGATGCATTGGTAGCTCCCCACACCCTCTGGATGGGCTGGTCTCCAGCACACACTGAGCTCCTCTCCATCCCCTCCACCAGCATCACCCAACCACTCCCACTGGCTTATCCAGGGACACAAAACTGTCTATTGCTGCAGACTCTAGCCTGAGGAGCCGGGTTGAGCTGGGCTTGGCCAGGAAGCCAATGGCTCAGACATCACTGAGTCTAACAGAGCTCCCAGCAGCACCGTGCAGAGATGACCACCCCCAGCCTCAGCTCCCACCACCCAGGGAGGGATCCAGCTAAAGCAAGGAGTCCTAGAAGCCTGTCCAAGCCCAGGCCCTTCATCACCACCATGCAAACCAGCCTTTGCTTCCTGAGCTGGGAGGGAGCTGCAGGTGCCCCTGGAAGCCAGCAATGAAGTCATTGCACCTTCCCCTTGTTGCAAAGAGGGGAGAACTGCCTGGTCTACTCAGTGCTGTGTTCACACGGAGGAGCAGACCACAGGGCCTCTCAACCTACTCTCTCCCACCACCTGCCTCCAAGGTGTTCCCACAGAGGTGCTGGGCAGCCTGATCACCTCCTTCCAGACAGCGCTGCCTGCTTCCTCTTGTCCTTATTTCAGAGAAGGCCCACACACCTTAGCAGGGGTATCCAAGAGCAGGACCTTGGATGCCTAGGACAACTCATTTCAGGCCAAAAAGGAAAGAAAAAAAAGGTGAGAGTCATTTCTAGGCATCTCTGGGCCTGGAGCCCCAGGGAGTCAGCTGCAGGCACTGTACACTTTGTACTTGGAAAACAGCAAGTGGCAGCAGCGCTGTTTTAGCCTCCCCCTTCTTTCCCCTGTTTTTCTACCCCCTTTAAAACAGCTGCTGTTAGCAGCTGCCTCTTTTCCCGGGGGAAGCCAGGTCCTCACTCCCCAAGGTGTTGCTTTCTCAGGTATAGAAGATCCCCGTCCTACCCATGAAGAAGTCTCCCTACAAATCCATAGAAATGGCATGGCTTACATTGCACATTCATACCCCACACACACACACAAAAAAACCCCCCAAACAGTGACAAACCTACACCAAGATGCATCTAAATGCTACCACCGGCCAGATGAACTGCTCTCCAGGTGGCAGGACCAGCAAAGAATTTCGGCATCTTCCACAAGTTTTAAATTAAAATGATGCCTCCGTCCAAAACCATGATCCCAAAAGCCTCTCCCCCAGCTCCTTCCTAACTCTGGAGGCAGCTGGACTCCAGGGGCCA